CTATATATATATATATATATATATATATATATATGTATGTATATATAAATTGAATTGAATTGTTGGTCTTTAATATCGATATAAACGTCTTGTATTGAGTATTGATAAACGTCAAATTTCAATAGTTCGTAGCGATGAAAATTTTAGAGCACCTAATTTTTAAACTTGGTACTTAATTAGCACCTAAAAAGCCCCTAATTTGGACTTTTTCTGAAAGCAATTTTGATTCTATTTTGATGTTCAGGAAATCTGAATTTTGCATCTGCTATGTTCTGAATAACGACTTTATTTTTATTAGGGGCGCCTTGTTATTGTTTATACTTGCAGCACCTAATTAGCACTTAATTCCTTGCTATTAATATTTATCGTACATCTAATAACTTCATTGCGTTGCTAGCGAGACGTTTTGCTAGCAACGCAAATTTCAACAGTTCGTTGCGGTGAAAATTTTAAAGCACCTAATTTTTAAACTTGGCACCTAATTAGCACCTAAAAAGCCCCTAATTTTGGATTTTTCCAAATGCAAGTTCCCGACTTTGCGTTGCTAGCGATACACAACTAACAAAAACTCCGTTCACACTCTTAATCTTATGGCTGTTAGACGGAAAATGAATCTTTAGTCTTCAGCAGATATGACAGCATACAGACAATTGACAAATACCTCAGATAAGTCCAACTTCGACCGTGAGGTCAATCGACGGATTTAACTCGGCTAGGTAGCTTTCGGGAGATTACGACATACCTTCTCGTCAGGTTTACCCCAAAACTTGTTAACAAGATTGTACAATCAGTGCGTGTTGTCAGTGATGACTTATGAATCTGACATGATCATTCACCGCTGGCCGTATGAGCAAGATCAAGGTCACTCAGCGGGCTATGGGGAGGGCTATGCTCGAGGTTTCTCTACGTATAAGATTTAAAAATGAGGATATCCGCAGTATAACCAGAGTGTTTTGCCAGTGATGAATCGTGGATCTGAGACGTGTTTCTTCACTGTTAGCCGTATGAGAAAGCTCAAGGTCGCTCAGCGTGCTATGGACTATGGAGAGGGCTATACTACGAGTTTCTCTGCGTAATAAACTTAGAAATGAAGATATCCGCAGAACAAAACAAAGCTAACTGACATAGCCCAACGGACTGAACTGAAGTAGCAATGTAGCTTGCAGAACCGACAACCGGTGGGGAAGTAAGGTCTCGAGTAGCAGCCTCGTATCGGTAGACGAAGTGTAGGGCTACCTGATAAGACATGCAGGAAGTCGATGGATGCAGGTGGCTAAGGACAATGCTTTGTGGCATTCCTTGGGCATGTTCAGCAGCGGGCTTGTGAAGGGCTGTAAATAATGACGATGATTATGATAAACAGCGGCCACTATAGTTTGCAACGTATGACAGGCGGGTTAGCAACCGCAATTTTTTATTTTTTTGAGTTGTCATAATGATGACGCTGTTGCCTATCTCCCTTGTATTCGAAACTGAGATTAGTAGTTGCGCAACTGAAGTCGCATGAAAGTTGTTGCCGCGCACGGCACGTGATCTGCACCAGCGGCGGCGGGGCGCGGGCGGCGCGGCGCCGGGAACGAGGCTACGACCGACAACAGAGCTACAACGTAGGGATGGGCAACATCATCATCATCATCATCATTACAGCCCTTCACAAGTCCACTGCTGAACATAGGCCTCCCCCAAAGAATGCCACAAAACACGGTCCTGAGCCACCTGCATCCATCGACTTCCTGCATGTCTTACCAGGTCGTCACTCCATCTCGTGGGGGGACGCCCTACACTTCGCCTACCGGTACGAGGCTGCCACTCGAGAACCTTTCTTCCCCATCGGTTGTCGGTTCTTCGAGCTATATGGCCGGCCAATTGCCACTTCAGCTTACTAATCCGTTGGGCTATGTCAGTCACTCTGGTTCTACTGCGGATATACTCATTCCTAAGTTTATCACGCAGAGAAACTCCGAGCATAGCCCTCTCCATAGCTCGCTGAGCGACCTTGAGCTTCCTCATACGGCCAGCAGTGAAGGACCACGTCTCAGTTCCGTAAGTCATCACTGGCAACACGCACTGGTTGTACAATTTCGTTTTAAGGTTTTGAGGTATGTCTGACGAGAAGATGTGTCGTAGCTTCCCGAATGCTGCCCAGCCGAGTTGAATCCGTCGATTGACCTCTCGGTCGAAGTTGGACTTACCCAGTCGGACTATTTGTCCCAGGTAAACATACTCGTCAACAACTTCGAGCTTAGTGTTCCCAACAACCACCGGCATAGGTGTGACATGGACATTAAACATGATTTTAGTTTTGTCCATGTTCATCTTAAGACCTATCCGTTGGGAAACACTATTGAGGTCATTGAGCATAGTGCTTAGGTCCTCCAGCGATTCTGCCATAAGGACTATATCGTCGGCAAATCGAAGGTGAGTGATGTACTCGCCATTGATGTTGATACCGTATCCTTTCCAGTCCAGAAGCTTGAAAACGTCTTCCAATGCAGCGGTGAAGAGTTTCGGGGATATGACGTCACCCTGTCTTACACCTCTCTGCAATTGGATAGGTTTCGTACTCTGGTTCTGTACTCGGATAGCCATCGTAGCCCTACTGTACAAGCACTTCAACACTTCGATATACCGACAGTCAACTTGGCACCGCTGAAGGGACTGCAGCACCGCCCAAATTTCGACGGAATCAAAGGCTTTCTCATAGTCCACATACGCCAGACATAGTGGCAAATTGTACTCTTCGGACTTCTGTACAACTTGCCGAAGGGTATGTATGTGGTCTATGGTGCTAAAGCCCTTTCGGAAACCGGCTTGTTCGGGAGGCTGGAAGTCGTCAAGTCTGCGCGCGAGACGATTCGTAATGACTCTCGAAAACAGCACGTAGACGCGGCTCAGAAGGGAAATCGGTCTGTAGTTCTTCAAAAGAGCGTTGTCACCTTTCTTGAAGAACAAGACCACCGCACTTCTGCTCCACGCCTCCGGTGTAATGCCACCATGGAGGACCTGCATGGACCTGCACCTGAGATTTTGAGTGAGATTGAGAGGTTCTATGGGCAGCTGTACACATCATCGTTGGAGCCACACGCAAGTGTGAGTAACGATCCAAGAGCGAGTCTCATCCGACACTATTCCGAAGATATCCCGGATGTCAGTCTGAGCGAGATTAGGATGGCTCTCCAGCACCTTAAAAACGGTAAGGCCCCAGGCGAGGATGGGATGGGCAACGGACAAAAATATATATCGAATCGATATTTTGAAACAGTATCGATATATATCGCGTGATAAATATCGATATATCGGTCATCATTAGCATGATGTAAAGAAATGGTCCAAAATTTTATATTACTGCCGATTGGACGACGAAAACAACCGACATCCAACCACACATGAATACTTTTGTACCTTCTTTTGTTGTTACATGTTTTGTCATTAATACAACATTTTAAAATATATCGAAATTGATACGAATTTGATACTCTAAAATAAATATCGATATATCGAAACATCGCGGTTTAAAATATCGAAAATATATATCGATATTTTTATTAAAAAATATCGATATTTCAATATATCGATATTTTTTGCCCAAGCCGGTCGCACGTCGTGCGACACGCATTCATAAGATATTTTTTTAATACACGACTGTCCAGGTTGTTTGATTTCATCACATCACATCACATCAGCCAAAACAGCTCCCGGATAAAAGTCGTCACGTCTATACATTCCATTGCACCCAAAAAAAATCCACTGCTGATCATAGGTCTCCCCCATAAATTGCCTCATAGGTATTTTTCCATAGTTGCCTATGCGGGTTGGCAACCGCAGATTATTATTTTGAGTTGTTATCAGGAAGATGCTGCCCATCTCCTGTTTCAGTTTCTCTCTGTCGACTCTTACGACACCCACGGGACGATGTCGGGTAGTGGATATTCTTAAGCCGCGTAACTATAAAGTTTTGTTACCAACTGTTGTGTTGCCAACACGTGTTGGTAACAAATGTTTCTGTAATTACCTAGTGTTGGCAACAAAACTTGAAACAATGTCAGGAACCGTGTTTCCATTTTCAGCGGCAACATCAAAGGAATACGCTTGTTGCAAACATTTGTTCTCTCGGTGGAGACGCTTGTTGGAAACATTTGTCGGCAACATTGGAAACAAATGTTGGTAACTTTTGTTGAGTTGTAAACAGTTGGAAACATAAATGTTGTCAACATTTTTGGTGGATACACGGCTTTACACCGCCGCTACACGCTCACGTCTGTCTATACATACATATAAATAAAATTGAAATGTCTGTTTGTAATATCGAAATAACTGTCAATTATTGAGCTGAGATCAGCGTCATAACAGATCGATACGAATCCAGGGCGGAATGCTAGTTTAATATAACGTCGCAGGTCATTGAAACATACAATAAATTGTATATCGAGCTGATATATTTAGCGATATCGTCACACAATTTTCTAAGGAAATATTTGCGATGGACTATATTTACATTTTATAGGCCGCACGTTTATGCAATGTTTGACAGAATTCGGCAATCGATTCGAATCAACTCACATCGTGCGTAAATAGGCCTTCCATTAGGTTAGTAATAGAAGATTCTTTTAAAAGCTTAGGAAGTTTAAACAGTAATTAAAAAAAACCCGATTGCGTAATAAAATTTACCGAAGAGAGAAAAATTTTATACCCCAAGTCACTTCCAGAACTAAGATGAATCTAACGATACCCCATTGCCCATATGTTAAAATCCATTAAGCCGTTTAATTACATATATATATAATATACACTTGTAATACATTACCCTCTTTCTGGGGCAGTCGGGTATTAAAACGTCAACAGATCGAATAACACTTATGCACCCATGCATCGTTACCATGGCAATATCTATCAAATTTATGACATATAATGAAAGTGTTTCAATATAAAATTTCGATGGTCTTTTAAATTTTTTTTAACAAATATTTACTTTTTGTGAAATTTATTAAACAAACAAAGCAATGGCTTGCAACGAAAACATAATAAAGAACATAGCAAGCGAAGTGACGAGGAATTGTCAGGGGCGATACGTGACAGTGGAAGAGGATTTTGTTACGTATTTGATCGGATTGCTTCTCTTGAATCCGAAGTACGGAAAACTGTTCAATAAAACTATCAACAGAAACAATTTGGAGTATTTCGTTAACGAATGCGTCGCCATGTTGACGAGTAAGTATTATTTATTTATATACATCCTGATTGTCGGATTCAACTCGGCTGGGCAGCGTTCGGGAAATTACACACCTTCTCGTCAGGTATACCTCAAAACTTGAAAATGTGATGACTTATGGATCTGAGACGTGGTCCTTCACCGCTGGTCGTATGAGGAAGCGCAAGGTCGCTCAGCGAGCTATGGAGAGGGCTATGCTCGGGGTTTCTCTGAGTGATAAACTTAGAAACGAGGATATCCGCTGTAGAACCAGAGTAACCGACATAGCATAGCCCAATGGATTAGTAAGCTGAAGTGGAAATGGGCCGGCCATATAGCTCGAAGAACCGACAAACAATGGGGGAAAAAATTTTCGAGTGGCAGCCTCGTACTAAGGTGAAGTGCAGGGCGACCCTCCACTAAATGGAGCGTATCCTTGTAAGACATGCAGGAAGTCGATGGATGCAGGACTGTGCTTTGTGGCATTCCTTTGGGAAGGCTTATGTTCAGCAATAGACTTGCAAAGGGCTGTAATGATGATGATGATTATCTCGTTGGTGTTGGATTTGAATCCCGTCGGGATGGGCCAAAAATAGTTATTGGGTTTTTCTGTTCAGAAATTAGCAATAGCAGCCCCGAGTCAGGAAGTTGGCGGTTTACCCATGTGCCTCGGAAAGCACGTAACTTTGGTCCTGGGCCTTATCTCTCCCCGATCATGTTGGATTACTATCACATTGGGCTATGAGAGTGAGGTAATAAAGAGTGCACTTGTACTTGTGCTTTCGCACACACACGGGCACTGTAATCCTGACCTGTGCAGATGGTTAGTCATCAGAAAGACTTTGTTGCCCATCTCCTCTGTCATCTCTTACGACACCCACGAGCTGTAATATACGTAATACGTACTACGTAAGACTTCTCTATCATAAAAGTAAACACCATAAAAACATGTGTATTAACACCCTATAATTAGCCCCACTTCTGGGTACAGGCCTACTCTCACTCTTTATTCTTACAAGTAGTTTAGAGAAGAAGAGTCCGTTGCTCTACTCCTTTAAACCCACGTATCATCGAAATGTTTTTTAATTCTTTGGACATCCAGGTGTCCTTCCATGTTTTCCTTCACCCCCGAGCACTTGGTAAATTAGCACTGAAAATCACAATTAATAATTTCATTGGTGCCAATGAGGATGGAACTCATGTTTGTAACGTACTATAATCTGTCATTAAGAATACTAAATTTTATCACAAAAAGAAGATACTAGTAGTTTCCCATTTAGGTGTGATTTTTATAGAATAAGGTTGACAAACGAGCACACAATCCACCTGATGGTAAGTGGATGCCGTGGCCTATAGACATCTATATCTATCCTCGATTAAAAATCTAAATGCAGATGCGCTGTCACCCGTGAGGGCTAAGATGGAATGCCTCATTTCCAGTTAAAAGTGTCTCCAGTTCTCTACAATCACCATAAGAAACACAACAGCATTAACATGCTATTTCACGCTGGGATTCTATGGGGCTTGGTCCTTTTCCGATCGAGCCGACCCATTCCTGCAACAACCATAATATAGCTGTAGCGTGGTTCTACCACGAATAAAGAAGTGATGGAATATTTCTATTTTCAGGGGGCGAAACATCCATTACCACTTTAAAGATGCAGTTTATCATGCAGACAAATTACGACAAGCTCCAAAATCTCATCGACAAACATTTGGAGTCCATTGACAGTTGCTTACGTCCATTGGTGAATGAGATATTGGACGAAGAGCCAGAGCCAAATGAAGAAGACGATTCTAAGAAACTATTCAGAAAGATCTCCATCTATATTATACTAGTTAGTGGTTTAGGGAATCCAAGTCAAATAATGGTTAGTGTTGTTTGTATAACAAAATTTGGTAGGGTATAGTTTTATACATAAACACATCAACAGAATCTATGGATATTTTATATTTCATTAAATACCTAAAAATGTATTAAGAATTTTCCGATGTAGTAAATGGAGGAATGATAGGTTATTTTAATGGCTTTAATAAAAAATAAAAAGCATTTTGTAATTTTTGTTTTTAAATAACAATGTAAATTTTTTTAATCGCCGTAGAAAATTAGTATGATGAAAACACTTCATTTCTTCTTAAAAAACTATTAATTTTAATTAAAATTTAAAAAAAAAACTTATAAAATCTAATTATTAATAATCAGTGTTGCCATCTGTTACATTAATTACACATTGACGTCGATAGTTCATACTTGAAATTAAATTGTCAATGTCTTGCTGCGGTATGAGGTCCCATGTTCTTTACAAGTGTTCGTAAAGTTGTTGTTCCGTCGTCAAATTTAGCGAGAAATCTCTCAAAACTTTTCGTTATAACATGTTCCAGACATGTTCGGTATAGGTCGGGCGACTGTGCAGGTCAATCCAAAACTTGAATATCGTGGTCTCGGAGAGCGCCGACAGCGAGTTCTCCAAACGCCTGTTCTTCGTGAATCCGGATGAAAACCAATATCGGGTCTTATCGGTGAACAGCACCAAAGACCATTGTTCGTCACTCCATGGTAAATGCTCCCAAGCCCACGAAAGTGGCCGACCGCGATTGCTATGTCGCAATGCTAGAATACGCAGCGGTCTTCGAGCATGAAAACCAAATTCATGCAACCTTCAAACCCAACGGTTTGGTCGCTTACCAGCAGCTGGTGGTCCTCCTGGAGCCTTTGCAGTAGCTGCATCGCTGTGATATTGGGTTGTCTTCTGGCGGTCATTTGGAGAAATCGATCTTGTTTCTATGTAGTAACACGATATCTATCCGTGTGCCGTTCAGCCACATCCCCAGTACTGCGATAACGTGACCACAACCTTGATATCACGCTATGGCTGGTGTGTAGGGTATCAGCAACAACGCGTTGAATAGCACCATTTTCTAACATGCCCACGGCTCGTAACATTTCATCTCGACTCAAATGACGACGTGACGTGACGTTAAATTAAAAAAGAAAAACAATCTAATCCCTTTTCATTAATTAATATCCGTAGTAGAACAACAATAAAAATTTTGCCGCCGTATTTTGTTTGTGCTTTTGTTTTTTTATTTACATTTTTAAATTTTGAAAATAGAATAAAAGAGGTTTCAATCTTAATATAAACTTTTAATGGAATGTAAAAAGATTTTAAACTATAAAGTCGTTAATAATTTAGGGCCTAGATCCTGTTGATGTGTGTATACATATGTCTTATGCGTCGCAATATCCACTTTACCATTAGGTAGACTTGCGTGTTCTTTTGTCACCCTTTTATAAGAAAATTAAGTGGATGTCGGTTGAAATTCGGACGGTGTGAGTGGCAATTCTACTATTACCACAGACTAAATAATAGTACAAAAACTACTACGTATTCTGTGGCACTGTGACTGGCCTGGATATAGCGATTGGAATATACCGGATAGTTATTCTTTCATCAAAATTAAAAATGTTAAAAATTAATTAGCAAAGATCCGTGTAATAAAATAAAATGATGTGTCGTACTTAGTTTGAAGAGCACTTTTTTATATAAATTGAATTGAATAGAAAAATTTAATCTTTTTTTCCCGCCCTCCGTAAATTGCGTGCACTATTCCCGTCTAAGTAAATCTTAGCGATCAGTCACTACAGAGTCTACTTCACCTGAGGATGCCTCGTGACACGTAACGCCTGATTCTTTTGCAATCATCAAACTTTCATCCTTTTAATGCATACGTCATTTTCTGAACGAGACGAGTAGGTATAATCGGTTTTGTTACGACTGTAGGTAGGTACGTCGCTACCACATGGAGTTATAATTATTAAAAATGTTTCTTAATTTTTGATCATATAGCTTTAATTTTATAGACGTGGCGTTTTATCGACGTGGTAGAGCCATGCTGGAGCTATATTACTGGTAGAGTTGGAGCATGAATGGGTCGGCTCGACCGGGGAAGGACCACGCTCTTACAGAATACCAATGTAAAATAGCAGCTTAACACTGCTGTGTTTCGTATGGTGTGTATAGAGAACCAGAGACTCTTTTTACTGGAAAAGAGGCATTCCTTCTTAGTCCTCCCGGGTGACAACGCATCTGCATTTTGATTCGCAAACGAGGAAAGATGTAGATGTCTATGGGCCACAGCAACCGCCTTACCATCAGGTGGACTGTGTGCTCATTTGTCACCCTATCCTATAAAAAAAATCTAAACTATGTCCTTTTATAACCTACTTCAAAAGAGGAGGAAGTTCTCAATTCGACTGTATTTTTTTATGTGTGTTATGTCAGAACTTTTTTCTATGTGAACCGATTTTGATGATTTATTTTTTATTTGAAAGCTGGTGCCTCTCATATGCTCCCATATAAATTTGATCAAGATCTGACCAGTAGTTTTTGAGTTATCCTCAATAATGCGTATTTATTTACTAAATAGATTATAACTTCAGGGGTAATCCGAAAAGAAAACATTCATCGCTAATGGTGCATAAATTAAGTTTTTAATGTAACTAGGTTGACGTCAATTTGTAGTTTTATCAAAATGTAAATTATATATGTAAACTATCTCTTGTTTATGAACTTACAGAATCTTAAAGAAGGTGTAGCGGCATTGGAAAGTGTATTCTCTCTTGACGACTTAAAAGTGTTTGTTGCACTTCCCGTCTCGGAGAAGTTGACGCAACTCCACGAATTGGTACAGATTGTATCTGGAGTCAGACTTTTTAATAGGGATTGCCAGAAAGGCGGTGAAGGTATACCAGACTGTAAGTACGTCATTTTACTTAAAGAAAAAGGACTGTCGAGCGTGTAGTGATTTAGGTCGCTAGAGAAAGTTACCACCGAGACATCAAAAAAATTGAATGGACATGGATGATTTAAGAAATTGTTGATTTTAGGGTTTAAGTGTGTTGGAAATATCCTCGAATTCATATTATACCTCAAATGTCATAGCACGAGAATTTAATCATATATATATATATATATATATATATATATATATATATATATATATATATATATATAGAGATCTCTTCACGGTAAATGTTGATCAGACGCGACTTCACGCGAGCACTTTGTTGATCCGAAAATGTATGTTGATCCGACGCCTTTTCTTGATCCAATATGCATCTCTGGTAACTAATGTTGCTCCGACAGGATCAACATCTACACTCACGGGACTACTTACTAGCGTTCCCCGAAGTTGATCTGATATACAAATCCACCTTGCGATAGTTACGCAAAATGTTGATCCGATTTAAATGAGCCAATCAGAGCACATCAAACGATCGGATTGGCTGAAAAAATCCGCGACGTTGCCGTTTCGTTTCTTTGGCGGTGGCAGCGACGATATTGTCTAAGGTGGACTTGAAAAACAGAAACACTGCTTCACTATATCAAAATAATAATCACAAACAAAACTAAAATATCTATCAAAGAAACATAGAGTAATCAATAACATTGCAACCTGACTTACTTATTAGTCGCTAGTCACTAGAATTAAGGATGCATTTGCAAAATTGATAGTTATAGAATCGAACTATTATATAATTTATTATAATAATTTTATATAATAATTTTACAAGTCCAAGAACATCTAGTTCGACATTTCCTTGGACCTGCAGCATCAACCACAGAAAGTAATCTTCCTCAAAGATCTTCAATCTCCTGTAGCTTTCCAAGATCTTCAATTGCTTCTTCAAGCAATTCTGGACATTCTCTGGAACAAAATACCACGAAAGGCCGACAATAAACTCGTACGAAATAGATGCACTGCTATGTCAAATTGAAAAATGAAGGATTATTGGCTAGAAACGCTAAGCAAGTACACACAGTGCAAAAGGTGTGAAAAGGCATTCAGTTTAGAATGTTATAATGAGAAACATGCTTGATTTTATAATATTTTCTTTGAATAAAATCCTCACCTATTTGAGTTTTATTTATAGCAAGTTTATTGTCGTTATTAAATGACAACTTTAAAAAAAATTGCGAAGTTTTCTTTTATTATTATAAACAATAGGTTTTTTACTATACGTCCACGTATGATTTAAAACAATATCACGTCACGTTCATACCAACAAATGTGCCTTAAGTTGTATTGAGAAATGAGTCACCTGTGACTCATGAAGTTATTCTAATACGTTCCTGTGAGTCATATATGACTTATTGGAGAGGGAAGTTGAGTTTTCCCCGGGTGTTCATGCAGCGATCACTCAAGAGTTCACGACGCCGACACATGAACTTGAACAGTCATCGCAGTTTATGTCCGTACTAGCTGTTGCCAGCGGCTTCGAACGCATGTAACTCCAAAATTATGCAACAGAAACGAAATACCTGAATAAACGGTATCATTTGTGTTATATAAACCTATCTCTGAGCAAAATATCATCCAGATCCCTTCAACCGTTCTGGCGTGATTGAGTAACGTACATCCATTCATCCATCCATCCAAACATCCAGACTTTCGCATTTATAATGTTTAGATAATAATTATAATTAATTCAGCCTATCTATAAATTGTTTTCTAAAATACTTACTAACCTGTGTTCTTACTTTTTTTATGTACAAAATCTAACGTAATTAACGCGCATCCTCAGACACCCCAATTAGTATATTATGTTATAATCATAATACATTATTTTTAATTATTATTATATTCTTACTAAAACATGTTTATGCATTGATTATTTATTAAATTAGTTATACTAATTCCGGAAGAATGTTGTGGTCACCGTACAAAACCACGAACGCTAGGTGTAGGTACTTGCTAGTTTTTTTTTTGAATTTGCATAACATTTTAATTGTATTTGTAAATAATAATGAACTGCTAAAACTAACATAATTCAAAGACGGCGTGTTTAAAAGATGTGAATTAAGATTACAATAATTTTAAGAATCAAATATTTAACTTACTGATAGCCTAAACTCTCATGCAACGTTGTATTTAAACCACAACGGCTCCGTGGCGCAGTGGCTTAGCAATTGAGTTGCAACGCTAAGGACCGCGGGCTCGAATCCCGCACGGAACAATATTTGTATGGCCTACAAATAATTGTTCCGGGTCTGGATGTTTGACCTTGTGCAATTTATGTTTGTACACTGCCCCCACAATACAAGAGAAAATCCTAGTGTGGAGGTTACGTTTTAAAAAAGAAAGAAAATAATTTAGAAAGCAATTCAGTGTCATTTTTCACTATTCTAAAATCGCCACAAAAAGGTCCTCGGCACTTGTTGGCTCACTAAAGTAAACTATTGATTTAATACATCCCCATAAAAAAAGTCAAGAGGCGTCAAATCAGCTGATCTGGGAGGTCAGTGGCCTGGCCGCCGCGACCTTTATAAGGCACTCCAAACTCTGTATTTGTAAAGACTTTAACATACTTGAAATAAGGTTCAATTTTCTTAATTTTGTATTGAATGACGGAATTTGTATTAATACAAGTAAAACTCACTTTTAAAAGTCTTATTGCCTTGAGTTACGGTCCATTTCAGTATGTTTTGACTGTACAGGTTTAGGCGTGCTGTAAATTACGTAGTTTCAATTATTTTTGGGATAAAAAAATTACCTATATTAAAAATGATAGAAACCAATTCAGTAAACGATTCTGAACAAACTACTTTCACAAAGTGCGTTAATTATGTTACGTGTTATCAGAATGTGTCAAAGAAGGTACGTATGGCAATTCATAGTGCTGTGTTAGTCCCTACTTTAATGTATGGTAGTGAAAGTTGGGTCTGGCAGAAGAAGCATGAGAATAGAATAAATGCTGTAGAAATACGGTCATTAAGGAGTATGCTAGGGCTGAATCTGAATGACAGGGTGAGAAATAGTATGATAAGAGAAAAGTGTGGTTTGCAAGATGACGTTGTGACCAAGATTAAAGAAGGAATGCTTCGGTGGTTTGGTCATGTAGAAAGAATGAACGAGGAAAGAGTGACAAAGTAAATTTATGTTTCAGAAGTGAACGGCAGAGTCGGGAAGGGACGCCCTAGACGAAGATTTATCGACCAAATCGGCGATACATTGAAAATGGGCCAGATTAGGAGGTACCCTTAACCGACGAGCGTGTATGCGTAGATATATGGATGTAAAGGAGGCGAGAGAGGTGTGTCAGGATCGCGCCAAATGGAAGTCCGTAGTCTCTGCCTACCCCTCTGGGTGACAGGCGTGAGTGTTTGTGTTGTATACTCAATATCACTAAACGTAAACACAGGTTTTTATCAAGACAAGTGACCCATCAAGATTATTTTCTTAGTACCGACGTACCTACCTAAAGTTTACATTTTAGTGTCCACGACGCAGCAATGATTTGTGACAGTTTGTTGTATTGTAGGTTGTAGGTAAAGTAACAGTAGGTATCTATGATAATCCTACATAATATACCTAGTTTGTCCGCCGCAAAAGTCGTCGAATAAATAATTAAACTGTTTTGTAAATCTTTATTGATTATTTATTTATTTATAAGATGTTCATTGAGAGCCGTGGTAGTTCAGATGTTTAGCGCTCGCTGTAAGTATCACAGTACGCGATGAACCCGGGTTCGATCCCCGCCGGCACCAATGAAATTGGTGCAATTTATTTATCACATTTTAATTATTTTTATAAATACGTTTAAAAATGAAAATATAAGTTTTGTAATTAAATTATTATTACTGAATTAATTACACAATTACTGACATTGTTTCCTTTTACGTCTGCGGTTTGTAATTACCGCCTCTATAGCTCAAAATAAATTATTCCTAGTACACAGAAAAATAGTTAGGTACTTATGATACTATGTGGAAAGTTGGTTTTTACAAACTCGTAGACGAATCTAATCCCAATTTACGCATGTGTGTCATACAACGTTTTTCAACACATTTGCGAGAAAACAGTACCTACTATAGGTAACGAAACAAACTTTTTGTTCTTAGATATCAGTTGGAAAGTCTGTTTTTCTGGGCTGTTTTGTTTTGTTAGAAATGCCAATGAAAACCGCAGAGGTGCGGATTGCTGGCCTGGACGACTCCGTGACCTCAGAGGAGGTGGTGGCGGCCGTTGCCAGAAGCGGAGAGTGTCCGCCGGACAAGGTGCGGGCTGGCGATATACGCACCGACGCCACCGGACTCGGCGCGGTCTGGGTTTGGTGCCCTGTAGCGTCGGCGAAGAAGATCGCCGATAGCGGCAGATTGCTGGTAGGCTGGGTGGCGGCAAGGACCAAGCTCTTACAGCCCCGGGCTTTGCAGTGCTTTCGGTGCCTGGAAAAAGGGCACGTCCGGGCGAAGTGCACCGCCGAGGTTGACCGTAGTGACCTCTGTTATCGCTGCGGCCAGCCTGGCCACAAGGCTGCCCTGTGCTCCGCGGCGCTCAACTGCAGCCTTTGTTCTGCTGCGGGAAGGCCAGCGGAGCATAGAGTAGGCGGAGGGGCTTGTGGGGCGCCTACCAGCAAGAAAAAGAAAAAGAAAAAGGAAAAGAAGAGGAGCACTAAGCCTGCCGGGTTAACCTCCCTGCCCTCGCAGGCTAGCAGCTCCGCGGCCGACTCCCGGCCCAGGACCGTTGCCGAGGGGATGGAATGTCAATAATGGCAGAATTCCATTCTCTCCATTTTCTCCAGGGCAACATCAACCACTGTGCCAGAGCTCAGGATCTCCTACTCCAGAGCATGGCAGAGTGGTCGATTGACGTGGCTGTGGTCGCCGAACCGTACTTCATTCCCGCCCGTGACAACTGGTTGGGATGCGCTGACGGTTTGGTGGCCATTATTGGCGAGACTCTGATCGACCCGTC